TTTCAGCTCTTGTATTTGGTGTGTAAGTGGTTCTGCAGTGTGCAGTACAGGTGTTTGATTTAATGACTGAGTGATTTCAGCTTTTGTATTTGATGTGTAATGTGTATTTGAAGAAGTTGGTGGTGCTGAAAGTGAGATAAGTTTTGTGGAAGTGCGTGAGGTTGTGCTGAATTTTTGAAGGTGAATACTCTACATATAGCAGTGATTTCTTTGTGAGGTAAGGTGAATTAGTTAAGATGGCATCGATTGGAGATGGGAATGACAATAAAACAGACGTTATGATTTCTCCATATTAGCTAAATGTTCAAATGGCATCTATTAAGTTGAATGGTGAAAATTATGTGTTATGGGCAAAATCTGTGGAGGTGTTTTTAAAAGCCAAGAAAAAAGTAAAACATGTGAGAGAGGAGAAACCCTCCTCTRATTCTCYRGGGTTTAGTGAYTRGGAACAGRAAGATGCACAAATAATGACATGGCTGTGGAATAGCATGGAACCAAAAATTAGCGTGAACTTTATGTTCCTAGATACAGCTAAAGAAATCTGGGATCATGTTAAGAAACTGTATTTTGGGCAAGACAATACAACTAGGGTGTATCAGTTGTACCAAGAGTACTTTAATCTGAAGCAAGGCAGACAAAACTTGGAGGAATACTATGCAAGTCTGAGGAATATCCGAAATGAGCTCAATGTGTATCATCCTCTGACACGGGACGTTCAGATTCAGCAACAACAGCGTGAGCAACTTGATGTGACAAGGTTTCTGGTGGGTTTGAAGGCTGAATATGAACCTGTCCGAGCACAAGTACTTGGGGGGTCTGCTCTTCCCTCACTTGAAGAAGTTTTTGTCCGTCTTAGGAGAACATCTGTTGAGTCTATAGAGCATTCTTCTCTCTCAGGCAGATCTGGTTTTATGGTGACTAGAGGGGGAGGCCGTGGAAATAGAGGTGGTGGTGGTCGTCATGGACTTCCAGGTTACCGTGRTGGTCCCATGTTTAACCGTGTTGGTGGCCGGAGTGGAGGTCGGGACTCAGGGGGAGGTCGTGGTAAAGGAAGAAGTAATGCCCCTAGGAAGTGTACATACTGTGGATTAGAGGGGCACACGGTTAATTTCTACTATGATTTACATGGTCCACCCAACACTTGGGCTAACCATGCTGTGACTAAGGGTAGTGCTACAGCTACTGAAAGTCAGCAAACTGACCTGATCCCCTCCACATCTACTAGTAAAGGAAGAAGTAATGCCCCTAGGAAGTGTACATACTGTGGATTAGAGGGGCACATGATTAATTTCTACTATGATTTACATGGTCCACCCAACACTTGGGCTAACCATGCTGTGACTAAGGGTAGTGGTACAGCTACTAAAAGTCAGCAAACTGACCCGATCCCCTCCACATCTACTGGTGTTTCTAGGAAGGAGATGGTGAGTGTACCCCATGCAGTATATGAGCAGTTCCTTCAAACATCTTCTCAGCAGAACACAGCTACCCTTGCCCATTCAGGTATGGCTTGCTTGGCTTCCAAGCCTTCACACTGGATCATTGACTCTGGAGCCTCGAACCATATGTCTGGGACTCCTAATGTATTTTCTTCTCTTTCTCGGTCCTCCACATCTCAAACAGTTACTCTTGCTAATGGTTCCACATCCCCCATCTGTGGTGTTGGTGATGTTGATCTCTCCTCCTTGTCTTTATCATCTGTTTTATATGTCTCCAAGTTCCCCTTTAACCTTATGTCTGTTAGTAGATTAACCAAGTCACTTAATTGTTCTATAACCTTTTATCCCTCTTCTTGTGTGTTTCAGGATCTCAAGACGGGGATGAAGATTGGTGGAGRGCATGAGGCAGGTGGATTGTATTACCTTGATGGTGGTGGCCCTCCAGTAGCTTTTCAGTCATCTCTTACTCCTCTTCAATGGCCCTACAGACTTAGTCATCCTTCTCTCAAGGCTCTGAAGTTGCTGGTTCCTTCCTTGAGTCATCTTTCATCTTTGGATTGTGAGTCATGTCAGCTTGGGAAACATCATAGAGTCTCTTTTAGTCCAAGAATTAATAGTCGTGTCTTAAGTCCTTCTTCTTTAGTTCATTCTGATGTCTGGGGTCCGATCAAAGTGATGTCATACAATGGCTATAAGTATTTTGTAATTTTTGTTGATGACTTTTCAAGGATGACATGGATTTATCTTATGAAAGATCGCAATGAATTGTTCTCTATTTTTCAAAAATTTTATGCTGAAATACGTACCCAGTTTGGTGTTCATATTAAAATTCTTTGCTCCGATAATGCCAAAGAGTACACCTCAGTACCATTTCAGCAATACTTAGAGCACCATAGGATAATTCATCAAACTTCTTGTGCCTACACCCCACAACAAAATGGTGTAGCTAAACGGAAAAATCGACATCTCCTTGAAACTGCTCGGTCTTTGATGCTTAATATGAATGTCCCAAAGCATTTTTGGAGTGATGTTGTCCTCACATCCTGTTTTCTCATCAATCGGATGCCCATGTCCATCCTTGGAAGTTAATCCCCCTTTTCGGTGTTGTTTCCCACCTTGTCTTCGTTTCCTCTCACCCCAAGAGTCTTTGGATGTGTTTGTTTTGTTCAAAACTTGGGGCCTAGTTTAGACAAGTTAGATGCACGAGCTACTAAGTGTATCTTCCTTAGCTACTCAAATACTCAAAAAGGGTATAAGTATTATAACCCTAACTTCCATAAGTCATTTGTGTGCTCCGATGTCACCTTCTTTGAATCGGTTCCTTTTTTCTTGGATATTGTGGTTTCTTCTCCTTCCCCCGTAGTTCCTCTTCCCGTCCCTGTTGCGGATCCCCTTCCCGTGGTTCCCATTCCAATTGCAGATTCACCTCCCGTGCTAATTACTACTGAGAGGCCACCAATCAAACAAGTGTATACTCACAGAAGAGCATCGGCCCCTCTTCCAATTCAGCCCTCGTCGACAGATCCTGTCATTGCTTCTTCTCCCTTGGACCTTGATCTTCCTATTGCCCTGCGGAAAGGTAAACGCACTTGTACTTCTCATCCTATTTCACACTATGCTTCAATTGGTCACCTTTCTGCTTCTCATCGCAACTTTATATCATTGCTATCATCTGTTTCCATTCCCAAGACTGTCCAAGAAGCCCTTACCTCCCTAAGGTGGCAGTAAGCCATGGAAGAGGAACTCTCTGCTCTACAACACAATCACACGTGGGAACTCACTGCTCTTCCTCCTGGTAAGCATGTTGTTGGGTGTAAGTGG